GGCATGACCTCTGACCCCGTGACCCTGCGTCGGAGGATGCTGGCCGCGGCCGCCGAGCGGAGGCTCCAGAAGCAGCAGACCTCCTAGTGCGCGCTCGCCGCCCCCTCCACGGCCTCCGGCAGCACTGCCGCCCAGGCCCGGCCTGGCCGCGCTGTGCTGTATAAAGCATGTGGTCTAATAGTGTTCGGACGGCTGACAAACTTAATCCTTTTTGTAATACTTTCTATGTGACATTTCTCTTCCCTTTAGAAACCCTGCACATTTTAATTTGAGGCATGATCTCTTCTGGCGTTGACTGGACTTCTTAGGGGTGGGGTGACCGAGAGGAACAGGGTGGCTAGAGACCCCCGAAGCCAGCAGCTCTGATTCCTGGGTTGCAGCCGCTCGGAGAGGGCACTGTGGCCGCTGGTGTCCTTAGCTCCAACTCTGGCAGGCGGGCCGGGGGCAGGGCTCCTAAGGAGCCACGTGGGCTGTGCGGCCCGGGCCCGACTCCTCCGCCGGGTACGTCTGATTGCCTGACCGCTGCTCTCAAAACGCTCCCGACGCCAGAGCTCCAGGCTCGTGGAGCCCCAGGCCGGCGGGGCATCTTGGAAAAGTGACTCTTGGTTTGCCAGGTGGAGCAGAGGAGGGGAAAGGCCGGGGCCGTAGAGTGGGAGGAGGTGGCCTGCCGTGTCCCAGTCCATCGGGGACTGCCCGCCGAGCCCTGACCCGCTAACGCTGGTGCTCTGGCAGCTCACGAGCACCCCTGCGTGTCTGTCCCCAGCTCGGGAGGTCACAGCCCCCCACCCCAGACATGGGGGCTGAGCAGCAAGCTTTGGGTTACAGTTTGAATTCCTTGGGCAAGTAAATGAGGTGATGCCGAAGTCTGTGGGTTTGGTCCTTAGAGAAAAGGAGGGCCTTACAAAATGGGCCAGTCACAGTTGGAGGGCTTTCTTGGAGAAATAAAGATCTCTTTTGTATCTTCCCTGGAGCTCTTTGTTTTCATCACTTTGCTCCTGTTGGTTTCATTAAACAGAAAGGTAAGATGTTAAGTCCACCTCCCTCGGACCAGACCCAGGTCCTGAACTTGTTCTTCAAATTCTTCACACAAATTAACTTTCGGGATTTGAAACATGCAGTCACAGGCTACATAGTTCGGTTTTATGTCCTCTTGGATTCAGTTTTTTGTTTTTGTTTTTGTTTTTTTTTTGACGTTTTAAAGCATAGTTTTATGGTAGTCCTTTGGGGAAGAACCCAGTATTTAAAATTATTGGCAAAGTTTAAATGTATTTTACACAACTAAAGTTTTTGGAATGTTGACAAGTAATTGAAAAGAGTGATGAGTAAATGCTTAGGCCAAGATAATTTATTTGAATAAATCTTTCAAAAGCCTTACCTTGAAATGCTGTTAGTAGATTTCTGTGATTTTTTAAAAAAAATTGGTTTTGTTTTGCTGAGACCATAGCTATTTGTTTTTATTGTAAAACAATAATAAAAACGCAAACTCTTCTAGTGTGTTGTGTGTGGCTGGAAGCTAAGGCAGTTTCTTTCAGAAGGGCCAGAATTGGGTCCCACTGTGTTTTCCGTTGGAGGGTTTTCTCCCCGTCCATACACCCTGCATGTTGCACACATTAAGGTGACCCTAATTCTGTGCGTTCTTCGGTTTCAAATGTGTGAAAAGAGGGAATGGCTTGGAGACCATTTTAGAGGGTGTTGAGACATTGGAATAAAGCAATCCGACCGTGATCAAAGCAGAGACCCGCCATCCGTTGCTTAAATGACCCAAGAAGAGAAGTCCTAAATGCACCCTTAGAATTTGTACCTGGATAGTAAAAGATCCTGGGCACCATACAGTCTCTTGGCTTTTGTCACTTCTTGGGGGCATCTGGGACCGAGGCGGTGGCAGGAGGCCAGGCCAGGGTCTTGCCACACTGGGGGGGTGGGGGGCGGCGGCTCCCACCCCGCTCTACCTCCCGGGTGGCGGCTGTGTGCAGGCCGCGGGCGCCTGGTCTGTGCTCGGCCGGGCTGCGGGCTCAGGTTTGTCAGCTGAGAGCAGGGCCTGTGGGGAGTGGCGGCGGAGTTGCCCTTGCCCTCCCTGCGCTCTTTTGGAATTGGTCCCTGTTACTCCCTCCATTTTCTATGTTGACATTTTAGGTTCTCCTCAGTCCTGCACCCCTCCGCCCCGCCCCCCGCCCCAGATTTTGAGGCTTTTATGAACCACAGAAAGGTGGTCCTCGTGGATGGCTTCCCTGCGCTGGTAGAGATCCTAGTGTCCAGGTGGCCACCCGGACCTGATTTCCCGCCGGAGCCGTGTAGACCGTGTGCTCTCTTACCTTCAGCAGCAGCCGCGGTCGGGGGTGGAGGGCGAGCTGAGCGCTCCGCCGGGCAGGGCCCAGCGCGTGCAGGGAGCCACCGCCTTGGGACCAGTGTGTCAAGCGGTAACCTCCGCCCGCCTGCCCTGACGCCCTTCATCGCCCGCAAACCTCCATCTCTCATCTCATCACCCCTGCTCGTGTTAGTTCCAACCCGACTGCGCATCAGAGTCACCCGTGGAGCTTCTAGAAACCGTGAGGCCAAGGTTCCGCCCCCCTGCTCCTGGTTCTGATTGACTTGTCTTTCCCTGCACTCTTTCCCCCAAAATGCTTCCTGACTTCCATTTTAAGGAGGATAAGGCAGAGACCTGTTTGTTTTACCTACAAAACTCATTTGAAAAGTAGGAAAGAGCGCTGCTAGAATACGGCTTGTTTTTAGGGAACTTCAGGTAGACAGAGTCATGGCGTTCTTTGACCTTGTGTCTGCATCCTGGTTTGCCCCCCAGACCAGTGTCACGTCATCCAGTTGTGGACCGTGAGTGCGACCTTGCCGTCACCGCGGATGGTGGGGGGCCTCCCCTGCAGGCAGGTCGGGGTGAGGGTTGCTGGTGGGAAAAGCAGGGGAAGGGGAGGTGCAGCCCGGCTGAGGAAGGGCAAGGGTGCCCGACCTGTGCTTTACAACAGGGAGAGTTAGCCTCTTGTTACTCCTAGCTCTGTGCGACAGTATGGACCTCTACCGCAACCCCCACTAAACTCAAAAGACCCTTGGGGTTGCTAGTGGGAGCACCTCCCGGCTGGTAACTCCCATTTGTTGGTGTGCGGAGAGGAGTCAACCAACTGACCTCTTCACGGCCCTCCTGTCCCCCTAGATGGCTGTCACGCTGACTGCTTGGCTAAGAAGTGATCCGTGGACATGCTACAAGGACTTTGCTGGCTGGGTCCCCTCCAGTTCCCAGTCTCAAGCAGTTTGCTGGTTATTAGAGCACAAACCTGGCGAGCCAGGGGATCGGGGGGGGGGGGGGGTAAGGCCGGCAGCCTGGAGGAGCAGAGAGTCCAGGCTGAGCCGATCTCGGTTACCCTGCGTGTTCAGCCTGCGGTGGGCCCCCTGGCAGCCAGGCGCAGTACGGGAGGCTTTTAAAGATGTCCAGGTGGATGGATATTGACCCCTTGGGTGCAGGAGGCCCAGGCAACTTAGCCTTATTCGTTAGGACCAACCAACCAGCTTCCCACTTCAGTGGAACCACTGGTGCAGAAGAAATAAGACCCTATCTTAGCAGAAAGTTTGGAATTACCTGCTTTGCCCACCCCCACCCATTTTTTTTTTTTTCCCCCATTCCAGTCCTCAATTCCACCCTCTCCTCAAACCAGCTGAGTAAGGAGAGGCGGGGTGGGGGCCTCTGCAGGTGGGAATGGCCAGCGCATTCCATGGCCCTCCTTGCTCCCAGGTGGCTGAGCTCAGCAGGCTCCCCTTGGCAGGGTGGGGGGCGGCACGGGGCGGGGGTGTGGGGGGGATGTGGATGTAGAGAAGGCCCGGGGTGGTGGTGGGGGGAGAAGATCCTTATTTGGCACTTGCAGCCCTACCCGCCAGCCTCCCCGTGTTTGGGGCCCAGTCAAATCCCTCCTTCCCTCCTGTCAGAATGAAGCCCGAGGGTGAGAGACTCAGGAATACAGACAAACATTCTCTTTATTGAGCTACACATGAATTTTCCATTAGAGAAGTAGACTGGCAGTGTGTAAGATATCACAGAAACCTCACCGATTGGGAATAGAAAGGCTTAGAAAGACCCGTGGGCTTTTTTTTTTTTTCCTTTTTTTCAAGTTTTTTTTTTTTCTGTATTTTTAATTTTTTTTGTGTGTTTTGTCTTTTCACCTCCTCTTTATCTGAAATGGCCGTGACTGGTCTTCTTCAGCAAATAGTAAATCTGAAAAGTGACACCGTGAAGAGGTTGGGGGTTTGGATACTAGTCAAAGTAGAAATGACATAGGACTGATCATGGAAACTGGCTTTCATGTAAACACTACATTCCATCTGTTTTTAAAATTTTTTTGTTTTTTTTTCCATCATGTGGTATTTAAAAATTTTTTTTTTTGTTCTTTTTATCTGCAGCACAAACATCCCCACATGAGAAGGAGCGAACACAGGTCACTGAAACAAAGGAGAAGGCAGAAAGGGGCGCACACACACAAAGGGAGCATCCGAGAGACTGCGAAGCAAAAATGTCAAAGGAAAAAAAATCCACAACCCCGTTTCCCAAAGACTATGAAAGCTGATCTGGTATGTGATACAGAGTGCTCATCAGGACAAGAAACAAAAACTAAAACGAAAAGAAACAAATCATAAAGGGAATCTGTAGAAAGGAGGTTGCGGGAGAATCATTTTCTACAGGGCTCTATTTATATGTTTGATCAGGACTCTTTTTGGCAGCTACTGGCCAGTGAGAGCTGTGCTTTTCTAGGTGAACCTGGAGTGAGCCTGGGGCTGGCTGGCTTGGGGGGTGGGGGTGGGGGCACTCTGGGAAACACAGCCTGAGCATGCTCCCCAGAACCTGAGCCCCTAAGAGGGGCGGGCAGACAGGTGGCACCTCTGCAGGTGCACTGGGGCCCCCTCTACACTAGGGATGGGTGGGGGTGCGGGTGCAGTTGTGTATGCTGCTTTATTTCCAAAAAAAAAAAAGAGAAAAAAAGACAAATATGGATGAAATGGTGAGTTTTCCTTTTTCTTCTTTTTTTTTTAAGCTACAAAGCACATGAGAAATGTTCTTTTTTTTCCTTTCAAATTCTAAATGTAAAGACTCAACTAAAACCAGATTCTACAGCATTCTACAGAAATACACAGCCGTCAGTCACTCTGGGGTCGTAGGTTGGACAGGGGCTTGATACAGAAAGGCTGTGTGTCTTACAAAGGCCAAAAGGTCATGCTACCAGGAGATCAACGTCAACAGCAAAGAGTCCGTGAAGCAGTCTGTAGAGAGAGAGATAAGGGGGTCCAGTCTGACCATTTTCTTTGATTTTAAAAACCAACCAACAAAAAAAAACAACCCCAAAAAACCCTAGAATATTTTTAATAATGTTGGCGTAGGGCAAGATGGGGCAGCATCACCGGAGGGATCAAGAACTCCAGGGGAGCCCAGCCCAGGCCCCCTGGGAGGCCTCACCCCAAAGGACCCTGACTCTGGTCAGGCCTACATTAATCCGGCCCTCCCCGGGCCACCGCTGTCCTTCTCACCTCCCCCCTGCTCCCTCCGGGCCCTTCTCTTCTCCAGGGGGCTGGCTTCAACTCGGCAGGTGAATTGCAGCCATGGTCTCAATGTTCCCTCCCCTCAGCTGCTTCTAGAAAGCAGGCCAAGTCTCCTGTTCCTCCAACTCTCGCCTTTGAATAAAGAAAACTCAGGAGACAGTGGATTGGCCAGAGCAACGATTCTTCTAAATTCTTGAAATTAACAACCATTGCCACCCAAGAGAGAAGCATCCTTAGTTTTCCTGTTGTTGGGAGTAGAGGGTAGGGAGAGGTTTAGGGTATTGGCCAGTTTTTGAAGGGCTTTGGAATTTGCGTGAGAGCAGGACAGAACTGAGACCACGCAGCCTTGGGGGGCGGGCCAGGGGCAGAGAGGCCGGACTCATGCCAGGCCTTTCTTTGCCTCTCCCTCTGCTCACAGAAATGGGTCTCAGAGTAAAATCACGTGGCTGTTCTTAAAAGGATGGACTCCCAAATCAGGACCCCCATCACGACGTGTGTGCGCGCGTGCGTGTGAGCGAGCGCGTGTGCACGCGTACATGCTGTCCCGGAAAACCCCCGATGATCTATCTATGGGAGGGTGGTCAGTTCTGTCCGAAGCTCTTTCTAATACAAACTAAAAAGAATTTTTTTCATATATATTTGTATATATATAAGGTCTTGTTATGCCTTTTTTTAAAGTTTATTTGCCAACTTGCATTTGTTAGTGGGGTGTGTGTGTGTGTGTGTGTGCGCGCGCGCGCAAACCTCTCTGGGAGTGCTGCGATCATTACCAAATAGGTTGCTATACAGGACAAGGGGTCAGTACAAGCCGCAGCCCCGCAGGTTGTTGGCAATGATTATGTCAGTGACGGCGTCGAATACCACCTGGATATTATTCGTGTCTGTGGCACAAGTCATGTGACAATAAATTTCTTTGTTGGGCGAGCGGTTTTTGCTTTCAAATTGTGCTTGGATGTAGGCGGCCGCGTCCTCGTAGGTATTGGGGCCTGCAACAAGACAGAACAGGGGAGAGGCCCCGGTGAGAGCCGCGGCGGCAGGGGGGCTGGGGAGAGGGGCTGGGAACCCCCTCCCTGCCGAGGTGCGGGCTGTGGGGTTCCGGGCGTGGTTGCATCTTTCATGTCAAAACCACGTCAGCTTAGCTCTTGCCTGGCTCTTGCCTTTGTAAGGCCTTTGACTGTTTCCACAGTGGATCTGCCCAGGAGCCCTGGGAGGGCAAGGGCCACAGATCACCCCTTTTGCTTTCCAGGCGAGCACACTGAGGCTGGGGCCCGGGGCTGCCAGTCCCCACACTCATCTGTGATCTAAACCGGGACAGGGAAGTCTGATGGAAGGAGCTCCCGGGAAGGGGGTGCCCTGGGATTCGTGGCATCCCAGACCGTGGCGGGTGACGAGCTGAAGCCCCTGGACAGGGCTGGGGTGTGGGAGCAGTGCTCTCCCCTGGCTGGGAAGCTTAAGGGGCTTGCTGTGTGTATCTGGCTCCGCTACCCTCCACAATCCCTTGGCTGTCCCCTGGGGTCCTGGCCAGTGCCTGATAAGGACAGTTTTCCAACCAGCTACAACCCAAACCTTTGTGGCTCTGCCCTGCAGACAGCCGTCCATGACCATGGAAGGTGGACCAGCACGGAATCGCCTAAAAGCCCCATCAAAGGAAGATGCCCCATTTTCACAAGCGCAGCTGGGATCTGGCCAACACGGAAGCGATCGGCTCTTTCCCCCCCTCCCCTAGCCCACCCTGGTCCACTCTCCAGCCGGAAGGTCTGAGCCACGGGGGCAGACGGGGGCTCTGGCGGTTCTGTAGCCAGATTAGCGAAGAGGAGGTGTCAAAGGTAAGGGGGTGGGGAGGTCTCTGAGGTGGGGGGCAGGGCAGAGGCCCCTTCTCAACCCCACTCTCGGCACCAAAAGCAGGAGAGCCCGGAGGGGCAAGTGTGGCAAAGACATCAAGTCATTGGCAGCTCGAAGACTAGACTCAGCCCCGGGGTGGATCCCATCAGGGAGCTTCCTGGCCAGAGAGCGCCAAGACTGGGCGCTGATGGAGGTGAGAAGCCCGCGGGGGGCGCCCCACCCAGATGGCGGGGGTGCCCCGCTGTGGCTTCATAGCGTCTGCGGAGTCAGTACCCTTGCAGCATCCAGCCATCCCTTCTCGCTTCCCTTGCACACCCAGCCGCCCCCTGTCCCGGCCCCTGCCCCATAGCTTGTTCTGTGTCCCACAGGCCATGGTGCCCCATGGCACCACTCTGTCAGTGACCATTGGTCATCCTTCGTGGGGGGGTGGTTTGAACTCAAGCTGGATTCCTCTGGAGGCCCTAGAAAACACCCATGTTTCTCAAATTCAGGCTTTCTCCGGGGGCGCCAGAGCCCTATACTCCCCGGCACCAAGACTGACCAGTCCTCAGACCAGGCCCCAGACTGGGCTCCCGTGGGGCTGGACCCTGGGGACAAGGAAGAGCCTGAGGGTCGAGCCTGCCCTGCAAGGGTAGCACTGGCCTCAGGAGGCCTGCTGGGGCTGGTGGCTTCCAAGCCACTCTCTGGTCACCACAACTTTCTAAGGACCTGAATTGGTCCTGATGGGCCTCAGCTGAGGCTGGGGGAGGTCAGGAGTGTCTGATGAGAGCAGACTGCAGCCAGGCCGCCCACAGGCAGGGCCCCCGTTGGCCCCGGGGTAGCTGGGGGCCAGGCCTTTCCGGCTCGCCCCATGCCCTCCTGGACTCCCTCTAGTCTCCATGGCCGGTTCCCCCTTTCTTTGTCTTCATCCTCTGAGTAACACGAGGACAGTGACAGCCAGCGGTAAGTATGCCCGGCAACTGGCTCTGTTCCTTCCATTTACCCACACGGCCACCCCGAGCGTGGGCAGCCTTGTGCCCGGCTGATCGGTTTGCCCGCAGTAGCAGGCGCTCTGGCTCTAGGAGCCCGCGCCCACCCTCACTCTCTGCCCCGGATGGGCAGGCCCTGCGGATTCGCCGGCAGTGCTGAGCATCAGGGAGGGGACAGGCTGATGGGCCCTCCTCCCCACCCAAGGGTGGGGGCTGCCTCTTCCTCATAGTCTCTTCTGCAACCCGGCTGGGTTCGGGGACCTGTATAGCCCTGGGAGCTGAGTCCAGGCCCATCTCCCTCTGGGGCTGTCAGTGTGTGGGTTCCCGGCAGAGCCAACTTGTGACAGGACATCCTCCTCTACTGCCGCCCTGAGGGCCACTAGAAGCTTCCCAGTCCCCAGAGGGATGAAGGCTGGGCTCTGGTACCCCACCAGCGCTGGCCAGCCTTCACCAGCAGCCCAGAGCCGGGCCATCCTACAGCAGCCGCCCTCCGTCCGCTGCTAGAGATGGCCTGACACCTCATCCTCCCCTTCAGAAGGAGCTTCTGCATGGGGCTCTGTGACGCATCCTCCCGGGAGCCTGATGAGAGAGAAGGTGCCCCGCCAGAGAAGGCGGGAGAGAGGCAGCCAGGGATGGAGGAGGCTTGCAGAGAGTTGGAGTGGTTTGAAGTGAGGAAAAGGCCAGGGCCATAGGAAGAGGGGGACAGCAGGGGTGGTGGGGTGATGGATGGGGGGCAGGGGGGGCAGGTGTGATGGGGGAGGGGTGGAGGGCCCGGGCCGGGCACAGGCAGGAGTGCTGCACACCACGCACCCAAGCAGTTCGGGGCTCAAAAGCAGCCTGGACCGCCTTCCAGGCTATGTGCCCACGCTTGCGAATTCATGCCAAAGTGCTGTGCGGCCCCGCAGCCTGCCAGTGCAGGGCTAAGGGCAGGCCACTGGCAAGCCTGCGGGAGGCAGGAGAGTTTTTCTAGAGGGCGAGCAAGATGAAAGGGGAAGCCTGTGGTCCTGTCCTGCCTCGTGATTCCTGCCAGGGTGCTCTCGAGTCACGTGACTGCAACACCAGTGGATCTGGAGGGTCCATTTCCCACCCGGCCCGGGAAGGGCCCTGGGAAGGCCCTGGGAAGGGCCCAACCGGGCCACACCCTACTGTGTGTCTCGGCATCCCTGCAGGACTGGGGCGGAGGCCAGGCAGCCCGGCCCCGAGCCCATGGGCAGAGGCAGGGCCTCCCCGACACCCACCTGTGTATTCAGGAAAGCAGATGGTCAAAGGTGACTTCTTGATCTTCTCACCAAAGAGATCTTTCTTGTTGAGGAAGAGAATGATGGAGGTATCGATGAAGAACTTGTTGTTACAGATGGAGTCGAAGAGCATGAGAGACTCGTGCATGCGGTTCTGCAGCCCCAGGGGAGGGAAAGAGAGCCAGACAGACAGCGGGAGGGACAGACATGGAGACAGGGAAAGAGAAGAGAATTAGGTTTTGAGAGGGAGGAACGGGGGTGCTCAGCAGCTCAGGCGGGCGCTCCTGGGCCCCCAGGCCTCCTCCGAAGGTGACAGTAGAAACGCGACCTGTCACAGCACAGGGCCGCTCAGCCCGGCGTGGGCCGGTCTACACCGTTGTCCCGGGGCTAATGGCAGAGCCTGGACTGAGACCCAGCCACCGGACAGTCTCCCTGCATGGGCGGGTGTGTAGGGGTGGGGTAGGCGGTGCTGGACTGAGCCCGAGAGCTGGGTTGCGGCACTTCCGGCCCAGTCTTTCCTCAGGGGCCCTATCTGTGGGTGGAAATGTCCTTTGGGAGTGGTGAGGGACAGAGGGGAAGTCACTCCAGGCTCTGGCCAGCATCCTTGGGGGCCACCACTGTGGGGAGATGGTCCTGCCCAGGCTCCCCGCCAGGCAGGGGGCCCTGGGGGTCTGGCCAGACTTCCTCTGGCTGGGCCAGACTCAGCCACGTCTGACACTGCACGGAGTTTGAAGCAAGGCAGACGTGAAGTACTGTCTTGCACACACAAATCTGTTTAGCAAAGGAGTGACTGTGGTGGCCACTCCCAATAGAGCAGAGCCTGAGGGGGGCGGCCCTTTGCCCTGGGCAAGGACTGGCTCATTCTACGGTGGGGTGTCTAGCACATAAACTTGGGTAATGTTTCTTGGCAATGCAGGGGAGCATGTGTCTCTGTGAGCGAAGACATTTCTGCATGGGAAGGTGGTTCCTCCATGGAATGTACCTTCCCAGGGGAAGGGACAGCCACTCATTTTCCCCGAGGAGCCTGTCCTCGCCTCGGGAACTTATCCATTCCAAACCCAGCTCCATGGGTAACTCCAGGCCACGCTGTTCCTCCCTTAAGAAGATTGAGACAAGTAACTGCAGAGAGGTGGCGTCGGGGTCAGCCCCTTCCCCGGGGCCCAGCCAGGGCTGCCGCTGAGTGCATGGTCGGCTGAATGGCCGTGGCCGCCCTCCTCTGTGAGTGGAGGGCGGGTGAGGACGATGGTGGGGTGGCCTCTACTGGTCACTGGGCCCCGCTCTGCTGAGCACCAAGCCCAGCGCTTCACCTGCCTCACGCGATTTAGCCTCATCAACCCTGAAGGACGAGGGAGAGCCGACAGAGCGGGGGCCCAGAAGAGCAGAGACGTGGGCCCGGCTCTGGGCCAGAGCCAGAGCTTATGACACCAAATGGGTTTGTCCAGCCAAGACGAGCGGTCTGTGGCCTTTAGAGGAATAAGTCCTAAGAGGGTCACGACCAGTTCTGCGCATCTTCAGCCCCTCTTCCATGACGGCATTATTACCCCAATGACCTGTAAGGGTCTCCCAGCCCCAAAACCTATTCTTACGGCTCAGGCCAGTTGCTGGAACAGATGCTCAGCTGCCCCTTGGGAGCTTGCACACTAGCGTGGTTCTCAGCTCCTCTGCGAGCTGCAGGAAACGGCCTTGTCCTGCTCTGTAAACCAGTTCAGTAAACACCTATGATCCTGTTACCCTCCCAGCCTCAACTGGCACATTCTGTTCTCAGCACCCCCAAAGTCGGCCCGCCGCCTGCACAGTTGCACTCAGGGAGGCTCCCCGGGGCTGTTCAGATGAGGATGGGTGGAGGCCCAAGGCCGAGGGCTGGGAACACTCAGGCTCCTGGCGCCACCTCTGGGGGGCAGAGGACAGACGCTAGGAAAGGACTCACTAGGAAAGGGCCTCCCGCTACACAGAGCCGCCTGGTCCCATAGCTGCTCCACCAGGAGCTGGAAGCCCACAGCCAGAGTCCGGCTCCCAAGTCCACTGCACCACTGTCCCGAGCATCGTTCTGGTCTTCAGACACTGGGGGATGTGGCGGGGACATACGCTGGAGCACTCCCAGGACCAGAAGGGATCACCAGGGTGACCTGAGCCGAGCGGGGACTGCGTCCCTTTGGCATACGGGCTGGCCCGAGGGCTTGCAGGAGAAGTGGGGGCCAGCCACTTGGGCCCCACACGTCCACTCTGCTAAGGCTCAGCCGCTCCAAGGCCTCTCTGCCCAGGGCTGCAGGGCACGTGCATGCACCTGCTCTGCCCAGCAGCACCAACTGGATTTGTGTGTGGGGGCCTCTGCTGGGAGGCTGCTGGGAGGCTGTGGGAACGACCAGCTCAAGTCCTGCTCTCTGAGAGCTCACAGTCTAGTTGAGGGGACAGTGTGCACACTGAAAAGGTCTTCAGGGGGAAGAGGCGCTCTGCAGAGTTGGACCCGGTTTTGTGGAAAGGGTCTTGGAGGAAGGCTGATCCTGGAGCCTCGGGGAGAACTGTGGGGAGGGGAGGCGCCGGCACTGAGCCCCCTCCACACCCGCAGGCCCGACCGCCCTCCCTCCGCACGCGGACCAGAACCCACCACCCGTGAGCCCGGAGCCCTGCTTGTCCTTGCGAGCTTCCCCGGAGCAAGCAGAAGCAGGAGTGTATGCCAAATGGAGAAAACAGCACTTGAGAGAAGAGAAAGCCAGAGATCACAACCAGGCGATGGCCACGCCCTCCCACTCCCACCGGAAGTTGCCTTCCTGTCCCCGGCCCCCGGAACCCCCCCCCCCAAGGCAGCCACAGGAGAGCGCCTGGCCGCTGTGTCCCCCAGGGCGGTGGGGGGGAGGGGCCGCACCAAGCACGCTAGGACAGGAAGGTGGGCTCGTGACCATCCCAAGGGGTCAGCGGGGTCAGGCCAGCCGCCCCCAGAAGCGTGTGCCCGTCGGCCAGGTGGCCCGCAGGCCTGACCCTGGGACCGGCGGGGCCGGAGCATGGGGACCTGTGTCATGTGGGTGCTGACGCAACACATCACGCTGGCGCTGGAGAAAGCTAGCACTCTTTATGAACGGCGGGTCACTAATAAATGCATTACGGCAGCCAATAAATTCTTACAGTAACTAGAGATTTATTAAACCAACAAGTCACTCTTCTTACAAAATTACAGTTAATGTGGGGTGGGCGGCGGCGGGGCTGGGAGGTGGCCGGCTCCCCTCTGCCTGGGATGGGGGTGGGAGCATGGGGAGGAGGCCTGGGAGGGGTGAGCATGGGCCAGGAGAAGAGTGGAGGCAGGAGGGATGGGGGTGGGGAGGCGGGGAGGGAACAGGTCACAGAAGTGCTGTGCGCTCCCGCGGGTGGTCTTGGAGCACTGGGCCCCGGGTTGCGCACTTCCCCTCCAGAGCTACCCCCTCCCCATCTCTGATGAGAGGGCCCAGGACTTAGGCCCCCATGTGCTTCTCTCCCAGCCTTCCCCTCTCTTGACAGGGGTGTTTGTCTGGCTGGGGCCGGGTCTGTCGGAGCCCCGAGCCCCCAGAGGGAAGGCCTCTGGGCAGAGTGGCTCGGACTGGCCTCACTGCGGGGTGGGGAGTCAGGGGCGGCAGCTCCCAGCATGGCCCTGTTCCCTGGTCTGTGTGTTGTGCCCTGGGCTGCTGTAGGTTTGGGCGCTGACCTGGGGGAACACCCCAGATTGAGTCTATGGGGCCACAGAGCCGGAGCCTCGGGCCTCTGTGCCCGAGAGCTGCCAGGTGCCCCTAATAACTCCCAGAAGCTCGGAGAAGAACAGATGCAGCCTGACTTCCCAAATGGGGCTGGACCAACCCCCACCTGGTCTGGAGCAGGGGCTGAGTCGGGACTGTGGGGGGTGAACTTACCAAGAGGGTTGAGAAGCACTCTTGAGTGAGGCGGTGGGGGGGGTGGGAAAGAGGGAGGGTCAAGAAGGGAGGCGGGGGCGGGGGTGGGCAGGAAAAACTTGCAGAATGGGGTAACTGAACACCCTGGGGGCGGCCCCTCCTTGCTGGGCTCATGTGGCAGAAGGGAAGGGCCTTGGAGACAGGACTCCCCGGCCTTCCCCGTTGGGGGTTTACAGACAGCCTGCCTATGAGGGGTCCCGTGGTGGGGGGGGTCCCTTGCAACTGCTGTCCCCCCCCGCCCCCCCACCGCGGGAGACTCACTGTTGCCCCGGATGGTCGCGGAGGGCCCGGGTATCTCCGGTTCCCGCAGCGGGGTGTGGAGCTGGGCTGCTGGGAGAGGCGGGGGTGGCCTTCTGCCGGGGCTCTGCCACCACTCCTGGGTCGGGGCACACGGCTATAGGCCCCGAGAGGGGAGAGGAAGGGGCCAGGGCCCCTGGCTTCTAAAGCCTTCATGGAAAATGTCCCAGGACCCCAGAGTGTCACAGCTGTCCTGCTCAGGCCTGGGGCAGAGCCCACACCCTCCTCAGGCCGGAGTGCACAGGTTAACCTGAGCTCCTACTTGGGCCTCGGGCACCACTCCCCCTAGTCAGGCTGGAGACCCCTGGGGACCTGCCAGTTCTCAGCAGGACAGCCAAGAGCAGGCTTTTGGGAGGGCAGTCGGTGCGGGGCACAGAACTGGCCCACAGGCATCTAGACAGCAAGCACAATTGTCACGGGTTTGGCAAAGGCGCTCCTCCTAGAAATCCAGTTTGTCCTTAGCCCTCTCAGAGCCATTCACAGACTTTAAGCATCGTCCTTCTGGGGACAAGCACGCAGCCGCCGTGGACAAGAATCTGGTCTCTCACACTCTCAACCTCTTCCCCGCACACCCACACCCCCGACGGAGCCAAAACTCATGTGTCGCCCTCCGTCATCCCTCCCCACGGTGGCGCCACTGGGAACGACATGGACGGGAGACGCAGCAGACAGGGAGGGACCTTCATCCGGGACATCCTCTCCTTGTGGGCTCCCCCTAGACAGCGGGACCCCTGCGGCGGGGGGTGGGACAGCGGGAGCACTGCAGGCAGCAGGGCAGCCCGGGGGCCCAGAAGGACCGGAAGGCCCCGGGCGGCCAGGGGCTCCCACCTCCAGGGCCACGAGCCTCAGAGGTGGGGCTGGCCAAGCGACCCTCTGGGTAGCTGCTTGTGAGTGTGGGCTCCCGGGGCGAGCTGGGGGCGCAGCTGACCACGCCCAGAGTGTG